TGTGTGTGTGTGTGTGTATGCGTGATATTTTTTTGAAATGGCAGCGGACAAGATTTCTCACCGCGAGTGCCAGCTGCTGAACATGTGTGACTGACGAGAACCCCTGCATGCATGACAGGATTGCTTTGACTCCACCTTCAGTGGCAAAGGAAACTCTCCACTCATATTTCAGCATGAGGAGGTGAATGAGTCTCAGGGTGCTGATCACTACGTCTTTGCACAATGACGACAGAAGCTCCACGAGCAGCTTCAGAACCTTGTCCCTGTTGAGACCAACAGAGTCAGTCTGACATCAAGGTCAGGAATCAATCACACATCAGGAATCTATCCTAGATCATGTCACTCTGTTCGATCACCTCATCAACTCTGTAACCCCGTTGTGTTTCTCACCGTATGGTCTGAGCAGATTCGCTCCTCATGTAGTTTTTCTCCTGCGCTCCTCTCTCCTCCATCAGTCTGGTGATAAAGAGCACAGCGGCGAGCTGCTGCGTCTGGTCTGAGCCTGACCCCCCCTTCTTCAAGATGTCCACCACCTCTCCCATCTTCTCTAACGCCGTCTTCTTCCCTTGGACCAGTGGGTTATTAAACACTGCAGGAAGATATTGAGAGGCGTTGATACAGAGACATGGAAATGGACTTGAGGCTGAAGATCTTCGCTCTGTCTCTCATCTGTAGGATTTGGTATTGTTTGTTTTTTCTGATAGTGGTGATAAATCAATAATTTTTCAATGGTTCCACTTCCTAAACAGTGAGGAAAAATAATTTAATTTGAATATAAAATTTAGCTTAGTAGCTACTAGCTAACTGTTGGCTACCGTTATGTGCTGACAGAGCAATGTATATGTAAAGTGTTGTCACCAGAGTTAAGTGTGGTGATGTTGCCTGTGAGCAGAGAAACTATCACAATACAGAGCTGAGGAACAGAAATCTGCGCTGTGATTGTCCCTGTGGGTAACAGCCGATTAGGTTATATGTATCTAAGCCTACTCACCTGTGATCTTGAGCTCCAGGTCATCAGGGAGCTCTCTGTCGTCCTCTGCTGGCAGCTCGCTCTCCGTCTCTGAATCGGCAGGAACCTCCTTCTTCGGTTTCTTTGAGACTGAGGCCATAACTGATGAAGACGAGGAGCCTGGTGCTCCTCCTCCTCCCAGCACTGATGAAACCAGAGAGCTTTCAGCTGAAAAAAGAGAGTGAGAGTAAGCAGTGTTGTCTTGACAAAAGACCCGTGTTTGTAGCGTCTCTGTCCTCACCCAGCAGCTCTTCGCCCTCTAGACGTCCTCCTCCTCTCCTCAAATAGTGTTTGGAGAAGGCGTGGGAGCACAGCAGGTCGCTCAGACATGACGACGGCAGGTTCTGCTTCAGGTAATGAAGCAACTTCTTAGCCACGTCTCCAGGGACGGACAGACTGATCAGGGACGAGTCTTCCAGGTGTCTGTCCTGCAGGAAGAGTAATTTTTATTCACCTAAAACCTGTCCCAACACAATTGAGCCACCTCTATCTGACCTGTGTTTATTTTCTAAACTTTCTCGACGGACAAAATGTACCAAAGGCTCACTTTCCCACCATGCTCTCTGGTCGCTGGGTTGTCTGTGTTACCTGCTCATCAAGGCTCTGCAGCAGGATGCCATTCACTTCCTTTTGCTGTTTCGGCTCCAGCTTCTTGATGAAGAAGACGATCTCCCACCACTCTGCTCGGCTCAGTGCTGCAGGCTCTGCCTGCAGACCCTCCAAAAGGTACGGCAGCGAGTAGAGACCACCTGGCGGCTTTGAGAAGAATGTCTGACTCACTGAGGAGAACAAGAAGAAGTTTCAGGTACAGGGTCAGGTGGACGGCCAGGTGAGTGTCAGGTGATCAGGTCGTACCTGCGGTGAGTTTGAGTGTCTCTGTGAGGGACGAGGCTTTTTCCTGCGTTTCTTTCTCGGCCTGAGTGCTGCTGCCGCTGCCCAGGATCTCCACCATGTGCCAGTGGACCCAGTACGTTCTGGACAGTGAGTTCCAGTACACCTGTGTACACACACACCCCCACACACCCACCCACACCCACCCACCCACACACCCACACACACACCCACACACACACACACGTCAGAACTGATCTCAAACATTTCTTTTTGTTTTGTTCCCTCTGAACCTTGGTTTTCACTTCAGTTTTTCCACCAGCAGGATTTTACCATAATAAAACGATGACCGATGAGTAAATAATCAATAACTTGTCATCTCCTCACCTGAACAGGTGGCGAGCCGTCATTGCTGTAGCGAAACTCTCCTTCGTCCCCAGCGCTCACCTCCTCGTAGTCCTCAAGCATGCGGACCATCATGCCGCTCTTCAGGTTGTCCTGGACGTACTCCACGTAGGCCGAACGGCAAGCAAAGTCGGAACGTGTTTTGAATCCGTTTCCCAACTTCTTCTTCGGCGGTGTAATGGCAGGCACTGCGACGGAAGAGTTGATGGGGAGAGCAATGGGGGAGGTGCAGAATCTAGGTTGGAAGATGGACCTGAGGACAGGGTGAGACGGATCCTCTACCTGCTCTTCCCCGCAGACTCCTCCTCCGAGGCAGTATGCAGAGCCGTCGGGGAGCAGGCGGTTGCGGTCCCAGCCCATCACTCGGACCAGCTCTGAGATCAGATTGGCCATTGCCATGGTGAAGTCAAACTCCCTCTGGACCCGTAGGTGCTCCATATGGTGGCCAGTGCTGGTGGAGGCGGGGGAGGGGCTGGCATCCTGTCTTTCAGAGCTAGAATCTGTCCCCGTCGTGTTGAGTTTGTCCATGAGAGATGTGACGCACAGGTAGCGCTTTACCAGAGAGAACAGTAGCTTTCCTGGAATCTGATATACAACAAGATGAACAAAGAGTAAACAACTCCACTCCTCCTGCAGGGCTACTGTTGGGGTCAGAGGTCAGTGAACAGTGTCTCACCTGAGGCAGGTGAATCCCCTCGAAGGAGATGCCATGCTCCTCTGAGGACGTGGTTTCGGCAAATAGCTCCAGTAGCGTGTAGCGGTTGTCGAAGTCCATGTGCTGCTCGATGCCATCCTGCTGACTAAGAGACAGGAGGACGTACGCTCGACTTCCTGCGGGATGGACACGAGAAGACATGCTATCACACCTGTCCTCACCTGTCTGCTGCACTGATGATATCACCCACACAGAAAAATTTCAAAACTTGTCCCTGTGGAATATTACTAAACCTAATCCACTACTGTTATTACCGTTACAGACACTGTGTGAGAGATTCAGTTCATCACCATGGAAATAAACGTTAATGTTACATTGATCTTGTAAATAGTTTTTATTTTGAGCTCACCTGCGTCATGTGAGGCCAGCGCGCGGAGCATCTTCCCGGCACTGCGTCTGGTCTGCGTCTCCTTGTTGCACAGCAGCTCCATCAGTAGGTTGAGGGCGCCGGTTTCCTTGAAGACGCCGACCAGCGAGCCGATGCTGGCGTAGGCACTAAGCACGTGGATGGTGTGTGTGATGCTGATGGAGAAATCGCTCTTTTTTGCCATCTGCTTCCTTGCCCGACGCACCAGGTTCTTCACATCCTCCTTCATGTCCGACAGCTCCACCTCATCAAAGGTGGCGTCGGCTGGGAAGTCGTCGCCACCGATCCTCTGGCCTCCATCTGATGTCTCACCGCCCTGCTGCTTCTCCTGTAGCTGCAGGGGGCGCTGTGGGTCTGTTTTCCTCTTACCCAGCAGAGTGGGGCAGTTGGCATACACATCCTCTGTCGACATCCACATCAGGATGTTCTCTGATTTGGATTCACCTGATGTGGAGCTGCTGGACCCGCCCACTCCAGAGTTGCCACCACTCGCCCCACCTGTCTCCCTGGCCCCGCCCGCAGAGCTGGAGCCGTCATCGATGGTGACGAGGCACCAACGAATCAGGTACTCAGTTTGGCTATCATGGGTTCGGCGCTGGCGGATCAGCTCCTCGGGATACGCCTGCAACTTCGGGCCCAGCTGGACCAGCAGGTTCCCATTGCGGCGTTCGCCCACCATGGTTACTATGGAGACAACAGAGGATCAGAGGAGGAGACAGAATAGGAGGAGGAGACAGAAGAGGAAGAGATAGAGAAGAGGAGGAGGAGACGGGGGAAGAGGAGACAGAGGAAGAGGAGACAGAAGAGGAAGAGGAGAAGATAGAGAAGAGGAGGAGGAGAAGATAGAGAAGAGGAGGAGGAGACAGAAGAAGAGGAGACAAAAGAAGAAGAGATAGAGAAGAGAAGGAGGAGACAGAAGAGGAGAAGATATTTGGTGCAGGTCTCCTCTCCTCACAAGTTGAGGCGTTGACCCATGTTGCTATAGAAACAGCGGTCAACAGATAAATTAATTTACGTCTCTCCGTCCCCAGTGTGATGTCTCCCTTCACTGTTGACCAGTCAACCAACAATCTTAGCCAACTGATGAGAAGTGAGTCAGCACAGTTGAACTGAAAAGCAGTGAGACGTTGACGGTCACACTCGTTTCAGTTCCGCTTTAACACAACGAGCCGCGACTTGGCTCCGTCTAATACCTGGAGGAACCCTCAGTCCAGACCGAATCCCGGAGCTCAGACACGGGTTGACAGTGGCTGCTGGAGCCGGTGAAGCAGTGAGGGACTCGGCCACTGCTTTCGGTTCGCTGTGGGTTTTTGTAATTCACAGAATTCAAATCTCCTCACGCAACACATCATAAGCTAGCAACGCTGCTAGCCTTAGCACCGAGTTTTCACATGATCGGCTAACTTGATAACTGGTTAACCCTAGACCTCTTTACCTGGTTAACAAATGAATTACTTAAGTAATCCACGTCAATGACTCGTTCACTAGTTAACTTCTCAATGGTAGATAAAGTAACTCAGTACGAAAAACATCAAACCAAATTCAAAGTTGATGTAAAAAGATGTCTGGAGGCGTAAAAACAATCTTCATATGATTAATGTGTATTTGTTGGTCGGTGAAGAATCTTCTGGTGATTTCGGCATGAACAAACTCAAGTTTGTATAAAGTTAACCTGAGTTCAGCCTGAGTCACTGATCCGGTTTATTAACAGATTAAAGTTGATATTGTGTTTGATTAAATGTTGGATGTCTTATTTTATGTAATTATTATAACATGTCAGATGTTATAACGTGAATCCTGACGCAGATTCAATGTCTACAATAAAATCATATGGTTCATGTCGTTTTAAAGTCGAACTGAACTTCATCAGCTGCTGTTCAACCGGAATCCGATGTGCTGTTGTCTCGGTGCCGATGTTCGCTTCATGTTGGGCCGAGCTCCGGGACACTGACCCTGGATGTGAGCTTTGAGCACCGGGCTGGGCCTGTCCAGCTGTCCGCCCGAGTCAGCCCGGGAAGCGGCCGCGCTGACACACGCTCCAGCCTGAAAGTAGCGCCCCGGACAGATGAGGTCTTACCTGCCGAGTCCCAGACTGTTTCCCTGGGTTGAGTTTTCCTTCGGAGCCGCTGTTTCCTCCTCGGACCTGACGTGTCGTGTCCTGGGCCGCAGAGACTTGTTTCCTCCGGAGCTTCGAGTTGCTGGATGCGCATTAACGCCCTGAAACAGGAAGAGCATCGAACCCGTCTTCTTCTACTGTGTGTGACGGTGCAGGCAGTAGACTGCCCCCTGCAGGACAGGTCCATATCATAAATAACAGGAAGAGTAGAAGCCATAGTATTATTATATATGTATTGTATATGTATCTGAGCTTCTTTATTCATAATTTATTTTCTTTGATTGAAACATGATCTGATATTTAATTTCTGTCAGCAACAGAATCTAAAGCTGTTCTCCTCTCTCTCCCTCTCTCTCTGTGTCTCACTCTCCTGTTTCTCTCCCTCTCTGTATGTGTGTGTGTGTGTCTCTCTCTTTGTCTCTCTCTCTGTCTCCCTCCCTCTCTCTGTGTCTCTCTCTCTCCCTCTCTCTGTGTGTCTGTCTCTCCTGTCTCTCTCTCTCTATCTGTGCATCTCTCTCCTCTCTCTCCTGTCTCTCTCCCTCAAAGTCAATGTCAAAGTCAGCTTTATTTTCAATTTCTTCACATATACCAGACATACAAAGGAATCGAAATTACGTTCCTAACTATCCCACGGT